ATCCGAATCTTTGGGCAGCTAAAGCAGTGTGTTCTAATAATAGTGTGTTTTGTTCGATTTTAGAGGATGGAAGAGAAAATTCAGCATCAGCATCGTTTTTGGAAGAAGCTATGTGCGACGCACCGACATTGTTGTCGTCTGTGTGAGTGTCTGGTTGATCTGAATGGTCACGTGTTGTAGCTGATACTTTTCTGGTAAGTGTTGATGTTGAATGACGTTTTGAAAGCTTTTCTTTACGTTCATTTCTCTTTGTAATCTTTTTTGTTTCAGGTGGATCAACACTTCCAATGCGACCAATTCTTCTGGTTCTTTGGTCCAAGAGAAATGGTTGTTCAATGATAGGAACTTTCCTTTCCTTTGGACAATTGCATGAAGAAAAAGCCAGAGAATTCAATTGCATGAAGAAAAAGAAATGCATTTACAAGCAGCGATGTCAAATAATTCTGCGGCAGAAGAGACAAAATCGTCTCTTTTAGAGCGCAAACCTATTTGGTTCCTTAAAAACATTTGTTTAAGTGTCAGAAATTTCTTATGGTATGTGGTGAGCATTTGTAGAACTCTGGTGTGTGAGACTATCGGAATAGATGACTTTTTGAAAATATTTTCAACCTTTTTTGCAACTATTTCTGAAACCTCTTTACTCCTAGGTTCATAGTTGTCGCCTCGGAGTCGCCCTATACGAAATCTTTCAAACTGATAACACAAAAGAACATCCTGGTAACTGGGTAGCTTGGACTCAGTGAGATCGTACGGATATATGCCAAACACAGGACATTTCTGTCTAAATTTAAATTTAGATACAGACATGTTGAATTTTTTGTTCTGTTGAGAGAATGTAAGTGATAGCACTCGGCGAAATCAACGACAAGATTGAAGGAACTCGATGAAAGAATATTTGTGTGGGAGACCTGTCCGAACGTGTCGTATGGCGCAGGGGAATGAATGTAAGTGATAGCACTCGGCGAAATCATTCAGGGAGAAGTGTGGCCGCAAGCCGATTTTCACCTTGCGCTGCGGCGCGCCGCCTTTTCGCTCGTATCTCGGGAACGGTTCGTCCTACGGCCATGATCACAAATACCATTTCGGTAGCTAATGACGCGACAAACAACTTTTGTTTTATACATTTTGCCATGAGAGGCGTATTTCAGGCGCTAGGTAGGCAATTTCACGATTTTAGGCAAATTTCCGAAATTTCAAGGCCGGAGTTGGGGTTGAAGATGCAGTCCGATCTCAAAACGAAAAATTGCATTGGAATCAGGAAGTACTAAGGCAACTTTTCCGCACTATTAGAAATCTCGAATCGAAAAAAGTCCGGAATCGACCCACCCTAGTGGTGAAGGGAGGAAGAGAAGTCTGTGGGGGAAAGGAGGTGGTGAAGGAAGGAAGAGAAGTTTGTGGGGTGAAGGAGGAGGTAAAGGGAGGAAGAGAAGTTTGTGGGGTGAAGGAGGAGGTAAAGGGAGGAAGAGAAGTTTGTGGGGTGAAGGAGGAGGTAAAGGGAGGAAGAAGAGTTTGTTCAGAGAAAGAGGAGGTGGTGACTGGAGGAGGAAGAGTTTGTTCAGAGAAAGAGGAGGTGGTGACTGGAGGAGGAAGGGTTTGTTTAGAGAAAGAGGGGGTGGTGACGGGGGAAGGTGAATGGGGTTCTATGAATGGGGGAGGAGTAGGAATCTCATCCAAGGAAAGGGGAGGAAATCTGTCGTGCATTGGGAGAGGGGAAATCGAAGGGGAATCAAGGGGAGTTAGCAGGGGGAATTTGGTGAGGTCTAAGGGGAATTCCGAGGAATCGACAGGGGAGTAGGAGGGTTCCGGATATTGTACTTGTGTAGGTGTGGGTGTACGTGTGCCCGAGCGGAGGGAGGTGTAACAATAACTGACGGACGCGATGTAACGTCTACGGGTAGAGGCGTAGGCGTGTTGTCTACGGGTAGAGGCGTGAGCGTATTGTCTACGGGTAGAGGCGATTGACAGAGCCGCGAACTCCGGCGTCTCTTCGAGTAAGGGCCTCTTGGGCGGGCCTCTCTAGTGGCACCCTGAGTGCGCATTGTAACCCGGAAAAAAGAAAGGTGGCGGCGATCAGTCCCTCACAGTAATGACCTGGTCCACAGCGGAATCTGCTGAAGGCAGGTTTCAAGGGCCTTCGGAGGCCGACGGTCGATCGTGGATGGTCCTGGTGGACTTCGACGAAGCCTCGGAGGCGCACGGTCGGTCGTGGATGGTCCTGGTGGACTTCGATGCACTGATTCTAACCGACCACCAGATCTTGGTCAGTTGACTCGGGCGATGCCTCGGACAACTGACTGTCGACCAAAGAGGTGACTGAGCGAACAAGAGAGGCCGGACAGTAGACTCGGGCTTATCGCCTCGGACTACTGACACGGTGGTGCTGAAGATTACTACTGACGCTGTGCGCTTCCGAGGGCCTCGTATTTATACCCCAAAAGGGCGGGCTTTTTCTTTGTCTGGAAATTTTTGCAACGCTAGCAACTTGTGACATGATTTACGATTTTTCTTAACTCCTATCGATATTGATATCAAGCGTCTTCTAGGAGGAGCTCCGAGAATAAAGGATTTTACGATTTTTGCTAGTCCTATCGAGGTTGATCTTGCGTGTTCTCGGGGAGTTAAGAAAAATAAAGTAATTTACAATTTTTCTTGAGGGTTTTATGCGTAGGAAATTACAGTCGGGACCACGTCCCGCTTTGTTATAGAAAAAATATATGACCAGAAGAGTCGTCGGTTTCCGCGCTTCATTTATTAGATGTCAAATGAACATTGCTGTGGGAAATTCTCTAAGAGTTTTACGATTTGGCACAATGGACATGGCGCCAGTTATTTTTTTAAGCTAGTTTTCTTAGAGTTCCCAGATGATACCTTAGAGTGTTCGTTATCTAATGACCGCTTAGAAATATGTGGTTTCGCAATTTTTATCGCCGTCAGCCCTTTGTACGCAAGTTGTTTTCCTCGTTTTATTTTTCTTTTGAGTGGCATTTATGAGTTTCCCAGCGCGTGGTGTTTACTTAGGCCTCGATTATCAGATATCCGCGCTCGGGCCCTTCTCGTAAATTTCACTCTGGTCATGACGCTGACCAAGATCCTTTGAAAGAAAAGAATCGTGGAGTCTACAGGACGTAACAGTAACATTTTTACATATTTCACATATTGCTGGAGTTATGTATTTACGTTATATCTTTTTTTATAACAATGTCGTTGTTTATAATGTAATATATTCTGACGATATATATTTGAAAATGAAATTTAAAAACAAAAACAGGACATAACACAAATAATTCCATAACATAGATAAGATTACATTCATATTTGACTGTAATTGGTTAATTCAATTACAACTACAACCAGTTACAACTATGCTTACGCAATTGTAGAATGGGCTTAACTGAACATAATATAATGATAGATAATCAACTTACACAGGAAAATAAAATATTCAAATACTGTCCTTGTACTTAATAAAAATGCACGCATTATTTTGAAATAACAATTCTTAATCAATAAATTCTTCAATGACTTGTAAAACCTTAATCAAACATTTCGTCCTCTTCTCTTTTGGAACATCTTCCATTATGGTAGTAATTGTGGCAGACAGTGATTCAAATGCAATATTTTTAGGAAGTGATGGTTTGGTTTGCTTGTGTGATACATTTTCAACAGTATTAGCCATCTTATCCATCATCTGTACAGCTTGTCCGAGGAAACCATCCATGTTATTCTTCTTTCGCTTCGCAAAGTTGTCACATGGAGGTACAACGATTTCCGTATTCGCTTTGGATTTAAACTTTTTGGTTATAGTAGATGTGCCAAATGATTCTGATGTAGATATGCGATCTTTAGAATTTATTTCTTTGGTAGCAGATGGAGAAAAAGGTACGGATTGTATTGGATTTGTTTCAATGGTTTTGTTTATAAGCATTGAGGAAGATGATGACGACGAATATTGACTATGTACAGGTGAAGATATTTCAGATACTGATTGTATAGGAGAATGGCAACTGTTATTAGTATCTGCAGAATAGGACATTAAAATATTGTAAATATTAAAAATCCAAAATATATTCGACATCCCCAATGACATCTGACACTTTTTACCTGCTATAGATTCTGTTAAGTCGATGCTCCAAACTGATTCAAATGGAAAATTGGTGTTTGACTCATCATCAATTGCAGCTGATTCTGTTGATGTTGAAGGTATTTGTATGGAGATAGGTACCTTCATGTTTGAGCGAGTCCTGCATATTGCATAAAAAAATCAGATACACAATTTGAGTTGCACATGAAAAAAGATATAAATATACGTTCAACTTATATTCGAGGCTTGTAATGAGGAATAAGGAAGCTCATTTCCGCATAATAAGCGAAATCGATTCCCTCACTCTCATCTTGATCATTAATTGCACCAGAACCTGAAGGAATATATTCCTTTCGTTTGCGATGGGCTCGCACAAACATTGTACGGAGGTTATCCCAACGTTTCTGCACAGCTTCACCTACAACATAAAGTAATCTTGAATTTAATTTTAATAATTAATAATAAATTAATTTTATTATATTAATTTTAATATTAAAGAAAAATACGAGCGAAACAAAGCAATTTATATTTACAAACCTGATTTTGGTTTGGTCAGGGCAGCGCCCACTTGTTCCCAACAAGATTTTTTATCAACATTTTTATATGTTTTTATATTTTTTGCGTACAGGCATGGATTACTCTGTACAATTTTAATAATTTCGAGGTCGTCCAGATTCATTTTTTGAGAATTCAACAGCTAGATTACTCACTAAATGACACACGCGTAAAATTTCGCACTATTTTTAACCCGCTAAAAACATAGCTACCGAAGCTACATGATTGGTCAGTCGTAAGAAAATCGGTAGTCTGTATCTTAAATGTTGGCTGTTGGCCAACCTTACGGATTCACCGATTACGACTCACAGATAGCCCTTCCGACTCACCGATAGCGTCTTATGACTAAAAGCGAAGATTCAAAATGCAGGATAACAGAGAATCTAGCGAGGTAAATAAATAATAATAATTTTAACCACATTTTGAATAAAATTAATACAAGGAGGGTTCAATTAGAATCATATATATATAAATTGATATAAAAAGGGAGGCTATGAGCCGAAGTTAGGTGTTCGTGTTACTATTAAAACAATCTTGCCATGTAATAAACAAACGTTTCTCTCGACCTTCATTAGAAGAAAGAACTAAACAGACTTAACGACATTTGTTTTATTAAATAATTTTACTACATTTATTTTATATTTGTCTCATATTATTTTTTGTTTTATTTTATTTCAATATTTTCTTATAATTATTATAATTTCAGCTACGATCGTGCTATACCTGTGGGATCTGTGAGTCCATTTATGAGTTAGTGGAAATTGAGACTCATGAATGTGTACAAGGTTACCATCAAATCATCACTGATGAAAATTTATATTTTTATGCAAAAGACGGTAAGTACTAAATAATAAAAAGTACGGAATTAAGTGCAATTAACATTTTATTTAACTGCTATCTTTATTCTTATTTAATGATGACGGTAACATTCGACGCAGAAGTTTGGTCAACGAGGATGAACAGGTTGTGGCCGACAATTCCTGCCACAATGAAAGTGCTCAAAATGCATCCTGGATGAATGAGAAAATTCGTCTGGAGGAGCAGCTTATCTCAGAAGTTCGACAAAGGCCTCCTCTGTGGAATTTCAAACTTCCACTTATAGAACGTGGAATTCGTAGGAAAGAGATACTGTGGGAAGAAATTTCCATAAGACTCAATAGTACTAATTTTTTTTACATTATATGACACATTACTTTTTGACATTAATTACACATTTTAATTAAATATTGTTTTTTTTCTATAGGAATAATGTCAACCAAGGAGTTTAAGAAGAAATGGAAATCTCTCTGTGACTCCTTCAGAGCACATTGTAAAAAGAAGAAGTTGCCGAGTGGATCTGCGGCCTCATCAAGTAGTTCGTGGGTCCATTACAACAGCATGCAATTTCTTTTAGATTCAACTACAAGGCTTGTATGTAACATCACACAGTATGCAATATTTTCATAATTTGGCAATATAGCATTAATATAATACATATATCAATTGTATAAGTAATGTTGTACAATATAAATAATGCTAAAATATCAAATGTCCGCGAAAATCCATAGCAGAAATATTTGTACGATATTTCGGAAATATTTTTGCTGTATTACTAAATACAATATTATGTGATATTTTTGTTACAGAACGACAACGAACGCATTGAACACTGAAGTTCCAGCAACGGATGATACTGAAGCAGTGAATGAAAATTATGAAATGGATACTAACATTTCATCCGACAGATGTGCCAGTAAGTTATCAGGTTCATCTTGTAGGTATTTCAATGGTAATAATGCGAGAAAAAATTGAAAAAATAATTATATATTTTAATTTTTGCAGGAAACAGTTCTACTAGTAAGTGGAGGAGACTTGATGGTGATGATGACCTACAAGACTTGGTGGAAGCTTTGGTGAAACCAGTCACCTTCGACCAACCTCTTCACATAAATGTGGACGTAACAAAATCCGCCACCGGCGCCACCGTAACGGAACTCGCGCGCGAAGATTCTGTTACGCACTTTACAAGATTTATGGAGAGTGAGCTACGAAAAATCGAAGATGAAGATGCACAAAATGAGATCATACGCAATCTATTCGAAGTTCTTTTTGACACTAAACGCGAACTTATGAATAAACATAACTAATTGTATAAATAACGCAAACATAACTAATTTTATAAATAATTCAGCAAACACAGAATATAACTGCGATATTGCAACATCCTGTTATATTGTAGAAATGTTACAATGTTGCTACAATATTGCATTTATATTTTGTTTGCTGGGAATTTTAATTTTAAGTTTTTAATTTTAGTAATTGTAGTTTTGCAATTTTGTATAAATTCAAAAAATAAATTAAATATAATTTGCAATTCCGTATGACTCCAGCTTTCGTATGCAGAATACGAAACATTTCAGCATGAAGTCTCAAACACTCGAAAAATTAATCTAGTGGATAATCTGTGGACAATAATATTAGGTGTAGTAAAAAGAAATCCATTATTTTTCCAATAGATTTCATGCAAAAACGATGGATTTCTTTTTACATCTAATATTTATTTCAGCCAAATGAATACCAATGAGAAAACATATACCATATAATGGTCAAGCTAGATCTTAGATGCTTCTAAAATATATAATTTCGTTTGAATTTACATACTACATATGCAGATTCTTGATGAAATATTTATTTCAGGTACACAGAGGTTTTTTTTTATTTAAATATGAACTGAATTTGACAATAACCATCACAAATTAATTTTGATTATCGATATTGTATTATTTATAATATTTTTATCGTAATATTTTTATTGAATCACTATCTTAAAAACGATTCTCTTGCCATGATACTGCTCCTTCATTGTTAAAATAATCGCAAAATTTGTCCCTAATTGTCATGCACCTGCGAGCACTCATGTTTGATCCGCTTCGAGTTATATCTGTAAATGCACATCCGTTCTCAAAAATTCTTCGCCAAGAGCCATCCCTAAATCCATTTGAGCTATTCGGATCATCTTCATCGACTAAACCTGCGTTCAAATACGTAGCATTGTCTGCATCGCATTTTCGAAGCCAATTGTGCAAGCAAACTGTTGCTTGAATCATTAACATAACATTTTTTGGATTAGCAATTATCGGTTTTCGATATATTCGCCACTGACTTGCTAAAATACCGAAAGTATTCTCAATCATCCTCCGAGTACGACTCAAGCGATAATTATACACAGCTTGCTCTGGTGTGAGTCCATTTTTGCCTGGATAAGGGCGAAGCAAGTATGACTTGAGAGGAAAAGCTTCATCTCCAACAAGGCAATACGGTAATATCCGCCCTCCTTCAATTGCTGCTGGTTTTGGAACATTCATGTGGTCCGAATCGAATTTTTGACCAATCGTGCTGGCTTGAAAAATACCACCATCGCTTTGTCGTCCATAGGCCCCGATATCGACATAACGAAAAATATATTGTGCATCACAAATTGCCAACAATACTACACTGTAAGCCCCTTTATAATTGTAATAACTCGAACCAGCATTATTAGGGCTGTGCGGGCTTGTGCCTCTATGCGCTATGTGTAGCGCTATTTTCTCTTATGAAAGCCTTGTGGCTCAAGTATTAATTGGCTATGCTTGATGCAGCGTGTGATAATGCTCGAAGGACCAGTGTTGGCAAGAAGCAACACGAAAACATAGTTGATAATGATACTTATTTATTCTTATTAAACTCATGCATGTGCATGCTTGACAAGCGTAGAACACAGAAGGTGAACTAGTGCAAACTTAAACGACTATATAATAAGCGTAAAGAAAAATCATGCTGCTGCATGCTTGGACGAAAACGAACTAGGAAGAAGAAGACGGAAGTGGCGAACGAACAGATACGGAAGCGAACGAACGCAAACGAACGCAGAAACGAACGCTGATAAGCGAACGCGGAGGAGAAGGGGAACGCAGGTAGCGCTCTTTTCAGAAGGAGGGAGCGTGGCAAAGCGAGCGAAAATACAAAAGTGTAAACGTGCATAGCGCGTACAAGGGCACTGAAACATTACGAATTATTGTTTTTACCACAATGTATGTATGTACTGCAATATATGTCGTGCATTTTTCATTTTGAAATTGTATTATTAAAATTGATTAAACAATAACTATTAACATTTACGTACTTGAATGATAACATGTTTGCCATCTATGGCTCCGATACAATGAATAAAATTTCTCAACTCTTTAAAGTCCCGAGTGATTTCTATCCACTTTTCTTTTGTTAGTATCGGTGGTAAAACCATAGGATGCAGAACGTTCCAAATTACTGAACATGTTTCGCGTACGATATTACATACTGTCGTTTTCCCCATAAGATATTGGAATGTCATAGATGTCATGGAATCACCAGATGTCAAATACCTGAAATATTGAAGGAATATATATATACAAGGGATATTATACGATAATAATTTTAATAATAATTTAATAATAATAATAATATTATTATAATTATAATTATAATTTAATAATTTTAAAAATTTATACGTTTAAACATTGAAAATGACCTAAGCGAGGTCGAAAAGTCTGTTGTTTATAATTGTCATATTTTATGTTTTATATTTTAGTTCTTTGTCTAACTTTTGTTTGCGTTTATGTTATTATAATTATTGTTTACAATTTTTTAATTCTATGTAACTTTTGATTCCTTGTTTTGTGATAAAATGTTTTCAAAATTATTAAATATTTTATTACTAGATATCTGGCCGTAGCCCTTCTACATATATTATTTAAATCATTGAGCCATACTACTTTTATACTAATTTTAAACATAAACTTACCTCAACGTTAGTGCCAAACGTTCTGCAGGTGTTATAGCCTCTCTTATAAAATCTTGCTTTTGCAAATGAGGGCCAACAACAGATAATAAAGCTTCTAATTGCGTTGCAAACATTCTAAAGTAATTATGAAAGCGAATATCTTCCAAATGCAACTTAGGTAATGAGGCATGATAGAAACCATGCTGAGAACGTATTTGAAAGAGTGGTGCTATCCAATGCTGTTTTTTTTTTCTTGTATGGTTTCTTTCTTGCATTTTTTCTTAAAACCGCAATAAGTACTGCAGCAATGCTTCGTCGTCTAATCTGTTGTAATACTATTTGCGATACTACATTTGCGCATACATTTGCTAAATGTTCGTCACTCAAATCACCCTCCATTTTAAGTATTAAATTAATTATATTTTTCTAATTCTTCAATTCTTGAAAAAAATAACTATCTCAATCACAATATATATGTTGTGACGTGACATTTTGTCAGTCACCCGGAAGAGCAGCAGAACGCGAGATCCTGGGTCCTTCAGGGTCAACGGGCGAGCGCACAGGCGAATGTGCGACATTATTAATTATTTTATGGCTTTTGGCGATTATTGTGTTACTTATTTTGTTATTCTCTTTTTGCGATTATCGTATTATTTTCTTTGTTTTCTTTTTCTTGTCGCTATTTAGTTAAGTTTTAGCTAACGTTAAGACGATCCTGAGCCCGGATTTCATTATTAATTACGATCAAAGCCGGTGGCTATTTAGTCTCTCTGTGTTTGACCGCCTCACCCATCACGAGAAGAAAGAAGACGTCGCCTGCTGCGAGGGAGACATTACGGTCAGAGGAATTTGACTGAAATCACGGAAAGAGCGGTACACGCAGGTCGTATTATTTCATATTTGTTACTGTAATGCCGCCGTTCTTCTGTGAATTATCGCACGATTATTGCAGACGCCTCGGAGAGAGACGTCAGCCGGGAACGGATCGACAGGCAGGACCTCCGCCGAGGCGCCGTAACCCATAGAGATCACGGGAAGATCCTCGAGCGACCAGAAAGCATTTTCCGCCTTTTTGGAAAAGCGCGCCACAGCGCCAAAAGGGTCCGCGACACGCAAGGACCCGCGGGATTCGTCGCGGGGTCACGCGGTCGCGGCGAACCAATTAGAAAGAGCAGAGGCCGGTAAGAGAGGGCCGGACGACCTGCGTGAATCCGCGAGTACTTCCGATCGGCACTTGAGCAGTGACTGGCCCTGACGAAGGACGCAGGATCTCGCCGAGCTTAATTGACGCATCGAGAACATTCCTGGTGGCGAGCACTGCTGTCGGCTCTCGCGCGAATCTCGGAAGCTGCTGAGGAGGAAAATCTTGGTGAGGCGAGCGTTATTCATCGTATTGTAAAGCCACCGATCGCGTATTATTTTGTGAGCGTCTCGAGCGAGTCGCGTGTGTGAGTCCCGCGGGTTTGATTCGGCCGAAGTTGTACCGGCAAAGACTAACGCCATTGTTATTATCGATACCCACAGGCCGTTCGCTCGAAGTAAGGAAATTACATGCTCAGAGTTATCGTTATTGCTCGCCCGTGTCACTGCCAAGTCATATCGTTCGTATTACGTGTTGAGATTCCGGTTTGTTTAAGAATTAGAGTCGAGCCGCGTGTCACCGCTCAGCATTAGGCTGTCGGTTGCGGGAAGTTTCGAGAGTCGGACCTTTCTAAGTACCGTCGACGACGACCCTGAGATCGTCTCTTCTGTAATAAAGTAAACTCGTCGTCGACGCGCGACCGCGGAATTCTGTAGATTATGGCAACTCATGTATCGACGCGTATTAAATAAATAGGAAACTCTTTGTTATTGTTAATATTAATTGCTGTATAATTATTTCTGTCTGCCTCTACCTCGTTCTCCGACATTGTTCCCCGCACATCGCGAACCACCCCCTCTACCAATTTTGTTGGCTGAGCTAGCTGAGCCTGTCCGTCGCGAATTCCGTTGCTCTGTAATTTCTTTGTCCGAGCGTAACATCTTAATATTTAGTGCGAAGAGTGGCACGCTCTCTCGTGCCTGGCGCCCAACGAAAATTAGTACGGCTCGAATATCGTAGCATATAAAATTT